TATTAGAGTTATGGTATAACATACCCCAAAACCCTATTCTAATTAGTAAGGCCCCATAGTGCCCTAGGTCCGATAGGTGAGATCTGGTCGTGCATCACATCAGTGTCCTTTTTACTCTACTCGGCTGCTACCAAAAATGGCAATCCGAGCTTGGCGCCGAAACTCTGCACCCTCAACCCTGTCCGCATGTTTGTAGTTTACTGGGCCCCAAGCCGCACGTCATGTTGTTTGGGCTGGAGTCTGACCATAGAACATATGGGGGTGTCCGAAAATAAGGGGTACCTTGTTGTAAGGTCCTTATAATAACGATCCTACTATTTAGGGTACTATATTAGGGTCCCCTATTTTCGGAAACCCCCATATGTAGAACCTAAGCACAAAGCCAGACCCCTCAACGCGACACCCTCGCAGCGGCGGGAGACCCTCAAACCTCAGCCTAAACAACATAAACCTGTGCATGCCATAATCCTTCGTCTATATCAAGCTGCTTTTCTAATTTTTAAAAATCTTGCAACCCTGCATCCTACATACAACCCTGAACCTCGAAACCCTAAATCCTAACATTCTGAAACCCTGAAATCCGTAAATCCAAAACTGAAACCCCGTAAATCTCTGACTCCCGGCAGCCCTACAGCCCCGGACCCATCCCTCCTTTGCCAAGCCAGGGCAGATGCCACGGCCATCCTAAACGCGCAGCGGCCTCCCGAGATGACCGAGGCGAGCCGGGGGGAGTTGTTGTGGGTCGGTCACAGCGATTTCTTCAGGTTTTAGGGATTTTAGGGATGTTTTTAGGGCTTCAGGAATGGTGGTACGTGGTTTTAGGGATGTTTTTAGTGCTTCAGGAATGGTGGTACGTGGAATAGGAGTAGGAGGAGTAGGAGCAAGCAGTAAAGTAGGAGGCCGAGCTTGCCGCCAGCGGATGTTCAGCCCGAAACCCTGAGGCCTCAGGCATCGAACAGGAAGAGAATCAAAGAACGACCTAAACCCTAAACCCTAAACCCTAAACCCTAAAAACAAAAGCCATCAACCCTTTGAGCCCAGCAGTCCCTCGGGCTTAGATTCTCAAGCCCTCCATAGCTGTCTTTGAGTTGTCGTTTGAAGTTCACGTAAGGGGAAGGGGGTTCAACCCCTAAGACCACATCCTTCGTCCCCCTGTCGTCATTATCAAGAAGGGTGGACCCCTAAGACCTGCAAACATAGATTGTAGGGGTGGTACATGTTAGTTCTCCGTGAAGGACAACTAGAGTTGCTGTAAGCTGTAAGACCTCGAGTCCACTAATTCTGTGACAAAGGCTAAGAGCCCTGAAGCTCCAGGACTTAGGACACACCGGAATCCCAACAGCTTAAGCGCTCTGCTACCAGCTGTGTTGGATCTGGTCTGATCTCAAGGCACGGCCGCGGCCCGCGGCGAAGGCCCCTGCCAAGTCGGCACCTGCGCCGGCACCGGCGCCAGAACCGGCTCCGGCCGCCCCTCGGACGGACCGATGGTGTCGGGATCATACAAACAGCTCTGTCCCGCGGGTAGTATTGCGATGGTGTTAACCGACTCTATGCTCTGAACTATCCTTGTAGGTTGACAGTCGGGAGAAAAGAAAGCCTGGGCCAGCTGAGGGCTTACGGCTTCGTCAGACAGGCAGCAAGAGCAACAACGACAGCAACCCCGAGATGTGTAGTCTGAATCGTCCTGGTCCGAACTACATCACGAGCAGAGCTCGATTCAATTCTGGAATCATACAAGTGCCGTCATAGTGCCAGCTACTTCATCATCGTTTCATCAACATCGCCTGCTTCGCCATTGTGGTTGTCCCCTCCTCGTCCTCCTCCTCCTCGTCCTCAGCATCACCATCATCACTGCGACTACTATCATGGTCCACCACCCCACCACCCCACCACCCCACCACCCCACCACCGCCGCCACCACCACCACCACCGCCGCCACCACCACCATCACCACCAGCCGTCGTCGCCGTCGTCTGCAGTATTACTTACTGCCATTATTATTGTTGTTATTGGTGCTATTATTACCGACATCAATGTTACCCATCTTCTTCTTCTTTTTCTGATGATGATTATGTTTATGATTGTGGTTAGTACTACTCGTATTATGACTATTTGTGTTGTTTCTGTTGTTATTTAGTTCTTGCTTGTATTTCTCCATTAGCAGTATTATTACTATTTGTTATTGTTGTTTTAATTGTCGTTACTATTATTTGTATTTCTATTACTATAAGTAACAATATGACTATGATTAATACTGTTATTATCATCATTATTACTCAGTAGTCGTAGTAGTAGCACAAGAAGCAGCAGCGGTGGTGGTGGTGGTGGTGGTGGTGGTGGTGGTGGTTGTGGTGGTGGTGGTGGTTGTTGCTGTGGTTGCTGTTGTTGATGTTGTTGTTGTAGTTGTACAGTCGTGGTGCATGGTAGTAGGAGTAGTATCGCCACAGTCGTATTAGTCGTCGTTGTCGTAGTAGTCGTAGTCGTCGTCGTTGTCGTAGTAGTAGTAGTAGTAGTAGTAGTAGTAGTAGCAGTAGTAGTAGCACTGTCTTCGGCTGAGGCCGCGCCCGAGGTGGAGGAGGATGCTCCCGTTGAGGAGGCAGTGCCCTGTGCAACGGGCCTCAAAGACTGCAACAACGGAAGAACGTCACCGCAAGAATTACAATCTCGTAGATGCATAAAGCCTTGGCTTGTCCACAATAAATCCACCAGAAATTATAACCCTAAACGGCCAAGCCATCAGCCAACAGAGACCTAAACCCAAAGCTCTGCTAGGGAGAGGAGAAGCGCATCGATCCTGACGATTCTCAGGAGCCTGCCGTATGCGCAACAAGATTTTTTGTTGGGGAGTGTGTTAGGTATGCCGCGGGAAAAGGTTGTGCAAATGAAGATCGATGACGGCCGACATATCCTGGAACTGTTGCTCTTCAGTGCTGGGGATCGCCTTAGGTCTATGCCGGCTAACAGTACAATAGCGGTGGCAGTTATGACTAAAGGGCATCTTGCGCTGCGAATCCTCTTTCTCATCCTCCACGCTATCTTCCTCGTCACGGCTGTAAAGTTGCGGAGTCTGGGTAGTCCCTAGAGCACAAGGAAACAAGGAGACTTGCTGACACCGGGCAGCGTTCCCCACGCATGGTGCAGTGACTGATGCTGTGCAGGAGCTGACCTTTGAAGAGCACCGGGCCCAGAAATTGGTCACCGTCGGGTGCGACTTTTGCTGTTGGCGACGTTTTGCGGGCTTCTTCTGAATAAACTAGGTAGACATGGCCTGGTCATCTTGACTGTGAATGTGTTCTATATGTAATTAAGTTGGTGGGCTGATCACTGCAGGTGTGATCGTTCTGTGTTTGCACTCGCTTCCACTGGCCATCAATGTGTTCAACCTTGACGCACGTTGCTGTCAAGAAGCGCAGACGAACGGGACGAACCAACGGTATCAAGTACGGATGGAGTCAATAGACAGTCTTTCTCCTCTGTATGCTTCTTTGGTGTTGGATGCCCAGCACCTTAGTCGGTTTCAGCAACCGAATTAATATGGAACTTCCCTTTCAAGCAGCTATGTGGCTGCCCTTTTGGGGCCTGCCTCTTCCACCCCCTCCCTTCAACTTTCAACTTTCTCCATCTCCAGGCTTCAGGAGAAGTACAAGAGCCTGTGGATGGCAGAGGACATCCAGGAGCCGACTTGGTCTTGTCAGGTGGTGCGAGGATGCACCAGAAAGCCGCGCTGCCATGAGGCTTCATGACTGGAGACGCAGCAGTAGCAGCAGCAGCAGCAGTAACAGTAGTAGTAGTACATAGTAGTAGTAGTCGTCGTCGTCGTAGTGGTAGTAGTCGTCGTAGTCGTTGTCTCGCGGTCGTCGTAGTCGTCGTCGAAAGAGACGCAGCGTCGGAGTTAGAAATAGAAGCAACGTGGCAGTAGTCGTCGTCTTCCGGGTTGCAGGAGTAGCAGGTAGGAGTAGGAGTCGAAGTAGGGGTAGTTGCAGGAGTAGTGGTAGTGGTAGTAGTGATAGTGGTAGCGGTAGCAGCAACAGCAATGGCAGTGGCAGTAGCTCTGGTAGTCTTGTGATTGATGCGCCAGGCCTTAAACATCTGACCGCTGAAGCCAATGTTTTAAACTTGACGGCTGCGGCTCGCATAAGATCTGCAGTTAGGACCAGAAGACTGTTTTCCGCTACATGCGTGTCGCAAAGTCGCTTGACTGTTTGCCTGGCAGTCGTATCGCTTCGACTGCCCTGAACCTTTGCGCCACCAGCAACAGCAGTGGTGACTACACCAGGAGTACTGGGACTCGGAGTGCCAGCCGCGCAAGACCTCGCGGAAGCCAGCGAAGGCTGCTGTGACATTCCTGACGAACATGCGGGTGCTATTGACACAAGTTAATTAGTTCTGAACAGTCCCCCGGCGTAGTAGTAGTAGTAGTAGTAGTAGTAGTAGCAGTAGCAGTAGCAGTAGTAGTAGTAGTAGTAGTAGTAGTAGTAGTAGTATCAGCAAAGCCAAAATCGCGCAGGTTGTTGCGGCAGCCGCACCTGCGCCGGCCCCGGCGCCTGCACCATCGAGCCCAGAAGAGCCTGGGGGTCAGGCGACCGGGGTGCTAAAGGGTTTAGAGTGTGGGGTTTAGGGTTTAGGGTGCAGAACTTGTCGTCGCCGTTGTTGCAATGGGCTGTCTGCTTGAGGTCCTGCTGTTCTGCTGCTAGTCGAGTAGTGTAATGCTCCTACTCCTCCATTGCTGCTACTGTTGTTGTTCCTACAACAACCACCAGCGCCACAACTACCGCCGCCGCCAGGACAACTGAACTCCTACAACTGCTGCTACTAGTACTAGTAGTAGTAGTAGTAGTAGTAGTAGTAGTAGTAGTAATAGTAGTAGTAGTAGGGGTAATAGTAGTAGTAGTAGTAGTAGTAGTAGTACTACTACTACTACTACTCCTGCTGCTGCTGCTGCTACTACTGCTACTACTACTGCTGCTGCTGCTACTACTGCTACTACTACTGCTACCACCACGACGACGACTTCTCCTACTACTACTACTACTACTACAACTACTACTACGACTACTACTACTACTACTACTACTACTACTACTACTCTACCAGTAAAACTACTACTAATACTACGACTACTACTACTACTACTACTACTACTCCTACTTCAACCCATAGCAATAACCATAGAACAATATGAATTAACATAGCAATACGACGACTACGACTACAACGACCACGACTACAGCGACTACTCACTCCTGGTGCCAGCATCAGTTCCGCCACCATGGACGAGGTTGACTGCCGGAGTTCTTTGGATGATGACGGGCACTGCCATAACTCGTGATGCTGCTACTGCTTCACCGTTAGCTTTTTTTCGTGCCGTTACCCTTTGTCTGTGTATTTTATGGCTTGACTGCCTTCGTCACGATGTCATAATGTTCCTGGTTCTCGCTTTTCTGCTTCCCGATTTTGGTCAGCATTGTAATTATCCGTGACCGAGGCAAACATTACCAGCGCCGTTCCTGCTAGCAGAAAGTCACGGGTTAGCATTCCTGTGCGCATTCTCATTTTTTCAATGTTCGGCAATCCGGTACCATGTGCGTTTGGGCATTATCTACGGGAGCACAGGGTTTGTGGTGATGTTCATTCCAAGCTTTCTGTTTTTGGGTGTCTGTCGTTGTGTGGGATTCCACAGTTTGGTCTCAGGGCAATGTCCGTACATACGCTAATGCGGTGTAACTGCAGCTGTCTCGCCTGTGTTTGCTGCAAGATTCCTGAACCGCACACGTGGCAGGCACAGCGAAAGACACGGCGATTCTGACGCCTGCTGGGTTACCACAGGCTGCCATCACTGTACAGACCCATGCGCCGGAAGAAATAGGGACTCTTTATGAATATCACCTTGTTCACGATTGCGCTTCTTCAAGTTGAAGGCGGCGGCATTCCTTTGCGAAGTTGCAGTTGCTATTGCTGCTCCGGATTTTGTGGTCGTCGAAGCCCTGCTTGTTAACAAGCAATACGACTTGTACTGCTATTGTTACTCTGTCATCGTCGGTCTTACGAGTCTTACTACTTATTACTTGTTCTGCTACTGGCTGGCAGTGCTACTACCAGCTTGTACTTCTAGTGGCGGCAGTCGTTGTCGAAAGTAGCAGTAGGCAGCTGAGAATGTCCAAACGGGTTGGTCGTGAGTTCCAAGGTGCCTCAGAACTACCGCGGGCTGAGAGTTGTGAGGGGGGAGGGTTGTGTTAGTATATTTATTTCGGGGTAAATCATTACAAGGCATCAGGGCGCCATTGTAAATTCATATTCTACGGGAGAGGTGTATTTGTTATGGTTTCTGTCGCCGAAAACAAATTATTACAATGCAGGCTTCCAGGCAGCTACTACTACTACTACTACTACTACTACTGCTGCTGCTGCTGCTGCTGCTTGTACTACTACTGCTGCGACTACTACGAC